CAACATTTTAATCCAAATAAAATCATTATAAGTAAAGTTGTTATTGAAGAACCTAATAAATATAAACCGCAACCAACATCATGTACAACTTTATTTTTAAATGTTATCATAGCAAGAATACCATTGATAAAACCAGCAATAATAAATAGAATACTCAATATTAAACTTAATATTACAATAACTGGTTGATATTTAATATTAACATTTGGTACAATATGATAACCTAAAATAGCATCAAGTGATAAACCAAATCCACTTGTACTAAACTGACATTGTGTTCCAAAATAACATGAAGGACAAACACATATTGATCTTGTCGGACAATCAAGTGCATCTTGAAAGCAATCACCTCCATTTTGACAAAGACTTCGACCAAAACAATTGAATGTCATATTATGATCAAATTCAAAACAATTAGCAAGACGTTGTTTATAATGATTATAACATAAACAAAGATGAATATCATCATAAAAACAAGAAAGATTTAATGAAGACATTTGACATGGTAAATGATAATATTTTATCCGACGAATAATATTTGATTTAGCAATACTATCATTAAATATTTCATTTATATGTTTACAACGATCTGATGGCTTTATCAATTGGTTAATTGTTTTTGATCGAATATAAATATTTTGAACTAAAATTAAATAATATTTCTTTTCAAGAAGTTCAACAAAAACAATATGAAATGGTTTTGACCAAAGAATTGTAACAAACTTTTGTTTAATAGGAATTGTTTGAGATGTAGTCAATCTCAATGGTTTATCATTATTCATAACTTCAATAAAATGAATAAATATTGATTGTGATACATTAATAGATTTCTCAAATGATAAAATTATTTTATTATCATCTAATTCACATCGTTCTCCAAAATAACCTTTTCGACAAATACATGTAAATTGTTCCTTTGATATCATATATTCATCTTTAGGAATACATTCACCACCATTTTGACATGTTAAATTGTCATTATTTTGACAAATCATATTGTTAAGAAGACATCGATAACCAAATTTATTCATAGGACAAATACATATGGATTGATTACTAGGAGAAACACCGATATATACTGAACCAGATGAACATATTGAAGAATGTTCAATTGTACAATAACGACCAGACCACCCTTTATTACATTGACAAAATATTTTTTGTTCATTATTTCGATATTTAATACATTTACCATTGATACATGGAAAATCTGAGCAACTTTCAAAATTAATATTATCATCTGGAATATCAACGATTAATGATAAACGATGAACAGGTAAAAATGAAAATTTAATTGGAAAATAAAAACTTCCTCGATAGTTTAATAATTTTTTTTCATAAATATGAATCTGTATTCCATAATTTTTTGTTTGATTTTTTGGTCGATTTGAATAAATTAAATTAATATGACGTTTTTTTATGTGACAATCTCGTATTGATAAATAAGTAAATTGTTCAGAAGAATGAATTATTTGTTTATTATTATCATCATCAATTAATAAAATAACAATTGCAAATAGCATTTTCCATGAATTATATGATGTTATTAATTTAATTGATAAACTTACTCGTTGATTTTGATATTGACATTGATCACCATAATAACTTGGTGGGCAAAAACATATTTTTCTTGTTCGATTAGTTTTATCATTTAACCACATACGCACATCAATACCACGATGACAATGAAGTTGTTGTTGAATAGATGTTATAGTTATAGGTGGATTTAAACGTACTTCGTGTTTTATATGTTGTTTTGTTTGATCTTTTAGTGATTTCTTCATTCTATTGAGAGTAAAACTTACAATTCGTTCTTTTTGATATAGTCGTACTTGATCACATAAATAACCTTCGACATTCGAAGCATTCGGACGTTCCGACTCTAGACAAATAGAATGAACTGGAGATTTATCTGTTGTACAAAATTGTTCATCATCTCCATGATCACAATCATATATACCGTTACATAGGTCCAATTTATCGATACATCGTTTTGGTTTTTGGTCTATGCAGTGAAAGTTATCCATATTCATTATTTGATATTCTTTGCGACATAATTTTGGTTCATCGGTAGCTCCAAGACAATTAACTTTACCATCATTTGCTTTAGTAATTGGTAAACACATAAATTGACTTGTATTAAGTGAAACACACTGATGTTCATCTGAAGAACAATTTAATGATGACGATAAACCACAATCAATTTCATCTTCACCATTAAGACAATTCCATAAACCGTTACAATGAGTATAAACATTATTACATGACCAATGTTCACATTCGGTTTCATCTGTTTCATCTTGTCCATCTATTGTAATAGGTGCTAATTCAGTAAATCCATCACAAATTGTTTGAAATGAAATATGTTTTCTTGCATATAGAAGTTTCCTTTTCTCTTTGTCATCATGCACTATGCCTGTATCTATAATTTCTTCTGTTGGAATAGTATAATTAACTGAAGTTATATTTTCATCATCACCATTTGGACAATCATTTATACCATTCATGAGACGATGCGTAGAAATACATTTTAATGAATTAGAACATTGATACATATTTGATCTATTACAAATCGTAGAATTATAATTATAAATTTCTTGGTACTGCCAAAGTTCTGGATGTAACTGATGCAAAAAAGATAATTCGGTTATCATATCAGGCTTACCACCTATGGTAGGTAAGTCTATAGCAGGTAGCCGACGATGACACATTCGATTATTGAATGAGAATGTTGTATATTTATTTTCCTTCTTTGAAGTTTCATTAAAATAACCATTATAACGAGAATTATTATAGCATATATAAGGATACTTAAATCCTTTATTATAATCGTTGCATGGTTTACATTTTTCATAAGCAAAATAAATATCACCAAATAAAACTGGAATAGTTGGCATATAGAACTTATCTGGACATTCCTTTTCAATTACTTGATAACAGTTATTGTTTGCGCAAGAAGTAACACAGTTGGGTAGAGATGGCTGCTGTAAATTAATACCACTACATACGAATGCAGACCAACATTGATCAGATGTAGAATTATCTTTCATAGAATACATATTGTTAAATAGTGTTTTTTGACGTCCTAACCAACAAGAACCGATACATTTTTCATATCTACATTTTGGATCTCTACATGTTACATCTTCACATTTTAATGATGGTTTATTGTGAGCGCATTTATTGAGTTCATTAGATTGTCTATAAGGTTCATCCGAACCATCAAGACAATCAGGAAAATACTCATCATCTTGAAAAAACGCTTTTGGCACACATTGTCCATTAGTACAACGATATTCATTATCATTACATTCGTTAATTTCAAGTTGCCAACAATATTCTTCATCGAGTCCACCATCAAGACAATCAATTTCTTCGTTACAAATTTCAGTCCAATCTAAACATGTTGGTGAATGACCGCGATTGCATTGTAAATGAGTATAACAAGTATAATTAATTGGTTTATATTCATGAGTACGATAAAAATCAGTAATGATATCATTTAAAGATGAATGTTTTGAATGATTATAATCAATTTCATATTGACACATCGAACCAAATCTTGGTAATGTACAATTATAAAAAACTTCTTTTGATAAAGCTGATTTATTAAAAATTGATAATTCGTTCAAATAGGATTGATAATCTTCAATAGTATCTATTGGTGCTGACCAAAGATATAATTGTTGACTTGTTATATTTTGATATGAAAGTTCACTAAATGTAAATTTTGGAAAGGAATCATGTTCTTCGACTTGAAATTTCGATGGTAATTCACTCATACAATAGGATATTATTTCACGACTAGCATTTCCTTCTTCATTTAAAATATCAAGACGTAAACAATCATGTTGTAATACATCATTATTTACATTTTCACGTACCCAACCAGTATGATGAAGATTCATTTGAGGATGGCCAATAATCAAATGTAAAAGAATAAAATAGAATAGATATTTTATAGGAAACATTTTTATGTGTTATACAATAACAAAAAATAATGAATTCAGTATCGATTATTTATACATCCCATTCCTGTCGCTCTTTTATAAAAGCATTTGGAGTTGTTGTTTTTGGAAAATATTCATGATAAAATATGAACAAACTCATTTGTTCCTGTTCGAATGGTGAAATTATTAGAACAGCTAATGACGTCAAATCATCATTAAATAATGCCTTTCTCTGACGCAAATCCTAGTAAATATCTGACTTTTAATTTGAGAGCTTCTGAAAATAGCTCAGGAAAAACGTCATTGTATTTTTTATTGACTGAAAAATACGTCAGCAAAATTAAATAAATCTATTACGTATCTACGTTGAGAGTTCGATCTAAACGTGTACAAAAGAAGTAGTTAAAAAATTTTATTTTTAATTTATAGACAAATATGTTGTATAGAAACAATTCAATTTTGTGAGATGTATTATGTTCATTTCATTGGATTATAGTGTATTGATCTTTTCTATATTACAGTTCCCATTCAACTTTTAAAACAAAAATGCGCAATAAATATTATTCTGTTATTTCAAAGAAAACAGGAAAAACAATAATAAAGGTAAATCTGTAGTTATTTTCAGATATTGACGTCGATGTTTGTCCTTTCTCTGCAGATGTACGAATATATGAAATTTGATACAGTTAAAGAGGTAGTTGACATTTCATAAAATCTTAGAAATATTATAAAAGACTTGTTATCATGTTTGCGAAGAATTCAATCATAAATATATTGAGAACTATTTTATTTCGTTATACATTTATGATTAATAATATCTTTATGATAAAATTCTCCCGTTATTTTTCTCTGCACTAATCTATATCAACAGGAATGACTGATTTGGATGCACAAACAAGAAAAAATAGAAAATGAATACTAATCATTTCAATACAATTCTGACAATAACTTTTCTTATATGGATGTTTAAAAAGTTATGTATTATTCATAAGTATGTCTACAGGTTTATATTGAGAAAAGTAAATATAAAATTGCAGGAAATCATTAAAATATGTTAGATTACCAATAAATTCAACGTTTTACTATTCACGACGAATGCGTCATTTTGTATCCATACTGCAATTTGGCATTGACATTGCTTCATTTAAACTGAATAATTAGAAAAGTTGTTTCCATGAATGACTTAACATCCGTTGGTACAGAATCAATTAATACATAGTCATTAATTGAAACAAGAATGATTCAGGTATCAATTTATTAACAGTTGATAGTGCTAAATAACTCGATTAAATTGTTTTTCTATTATACTACTGAATGTAATATCCGTAAGTGCTTGCATCATGATACAAGGCAACATATTTAATGGAGAGAACTGTAAAATTTGATATCAATATGATTATGATAAATATTAGCTCAAGTATATGTGAATACTAAAAAGATACATAAAAAGGAGAAAAAAAATAGAGAATGAGAGAATAAAAAAAGAAGAGGAAGAAAAGGGAGAAAGTATGATATTGTCTAGAAATAAGGAAAAATATAAATCTGGAAAAAGATTCAACAGTTTATCATGTAAGTGAAATTAGCAGTGGATCCGCACCCAGACCTACCCTCATGATTACTCTTATTGTTGTGTTACTATTAATTTTTAATTCGATTAATAGATCAATATATACAAGCCATATCTATTCGTAGTCATGATCTCGTATCATCTTTACTATCAACATTCTTATGTTTTGTTCTCTTTTTCTCTGCACAACATATGCGTTTATGTTTCTTTACTCTCCACTATGAGTTTAGACAAATATTATGGTTGAATAAACATGATATTTTAATCCTTGTTTCTTTTCATCTAATATCAAATTCGATTGCAAGCATTCATATTAAAAGATTTATTTCATGTATTGCACTTCAATGATATCTTGTTTTATTTAGAAAAAACAATAAATAAAGGTATTTCTAACTAATTTATTTTTCTTTAACAAAAACAATGTTTGATAAAAAAAGTATTGAATTAACTTATTGTTAAAAATGTTTTCCATTTTATATACCAATAATTGCAATTCATGGTTACTATGCAGCAAGCAAGGTAACATTCAGCTGAATACTAGCTACTAATTGAAATGATAATCTAAAAAAATATATAAAAAATAAAATACAATATTAGAACTACTCTTTCGTGCATAAATAAATACATAATCTTCGTCAAACATATTATCATTTTTTAGAATCCATTCAAATATGTAACTCACTTTATAAACGCGTTAGAAAGGTGTACTAGTGACTAATAGATAACGACAGTTGAATACTTCAGACGATGATTCCATTCAAGTATATTATAGAGTTGACAGGAAGATTTGAGCGAGCTAAATGACTGATGAGTATACAACAGATGAATAATTCATAATAATATTATGTTCAAGTATTTTATTTCATTTGAAAGAAGTTTTCTACAACAGTTCAGCATACACAAATAGATAATACATGAATAAGTCACGTCAGGATTGTGCTCATATATTTCTTTTCGTTCGGAAAACAATCTTAGTAATAGTTCTACATTCACAAGCCAGTGACAGACGAATCAATATCAGCCAGGTAGTATTTTGTTTCATTCGGAAGGAGAGTTTTTAGAACAGTTTGACGTTTATAAATAAATAATAGATGAATAAGTCATAACAAGATCGCATTCAAGTATTTTATTAGCACCAATATGAGATTTCTACCTCTCACGAAAAAATCTTAAAACAAACGACAGATGAACACGTATAACAAGCATTATATTCACATACTTTATTCTATCAAATTTAGGAATTACGTTAAGTTTAAAGACCGTCAGGTTAATAGACAGTGAATGAGTTTTAGTAAGGTATTATATTCAAGTATTTGCATTAGTTTAAAGTGACATTTCTATAACACCAGATAATGAAGAGACAGTGATTATGAATGTCTCATACCAAGCTATGGTTCAATTATTTTGTTGAAATCGAAGTAATATTCTTAAGATACTCTTTGATAGAGAAGAATAAAGGATAATGAATGTTGCATAGAAAAATCACATACTAATATTTTGAAGAAACATTTAAACTATTATTTGTACCAAAGTATATGACCTATTCTCACATGTAATACAAAGTAAGCAAACAAGAGATTCGTTTTCATTGAGGAATACATTGGGTATGAATAATTATAAACATATTTCTGTTCAGATATCTGCACATTTAACAATAAACCGAACAAATGTGATGAAATTAGTGTCTGTATTTACAATGAATAATTCTAAGGAATGTTTTATTCCAAAATTTGTTCCTTTCAGAAAACATTAGAAGAGATCATTATGAATTTAATAAATCTGTAGTTAATGAACACTTATGATGAAGTCATATCGTTCAAGTTTCATTTACCATTACGAAAGGCTCCAAGTTTCTATCATATAATCGATAGATTTAAGACTAATGAATAACTCAGACAAATTCTTTCTCCACATATATTATTATTCACAACAAAAGTAATGAAAGTGTATATACTGATAATGAAATTCATAACAAATGAACGACTCTAACCATTATTCTTTTTAAGTACTTTAGTGAATGTCATGTATTCGACGAAAGCATACCGAATAACACAGATCTTAGTTAAAATGAATGAACGATACGCTTTTTATGATATGTCTGGAGAACTCTCTTGATGAGTTAGTTGCTTGTACCACGAGGAGTATCTTCATCGAAATCATAATTGACGAAGCAGGCCTTGTGCATAGTTGTGCACATAAGACCATTAAAGCCAAGATGTATACTAATCTCTTGTTATTAACCATCGTTCTTGTTTGTGTTGGATGAAAGCATAAATGTTGTGTGAGAGTAAGTATTTTTAATGAAGAACCACTTTTTAATTTTGCAAGGATATTTTCAGTCTTTATATAGTCATTATGAATATAGGAAAGAGAAAGTAGCGAAAAAATATCGATTGTTCTCTTTCAATCCGAAGTAAGGCGTTACGATTACAAAAAAAAAGATACGAAAAACGGAATGATTCGTTTTAACGACTGACAACATATAACGACTTGTGTTTAGCTTTGATACAAATATAAAACACGCTTGTTACTTATGTTAATATTATTCTATACACAGAACAGAATCATATTATAAAAATATTGCTTTATATAGATACAATTTTCGACTATTCTTTTCATGAATAACTATATGTACATCATGTACAATATAAATATTACTGCTCTACTATTCAATTTTTTTTTGATTGAACAAGAACACATCCTTCGAATGAACCAATAACTTTCGTATGTATATGATTACGATAATCAAAATGTATGATAGCTACACATAAATCTTTGATTAAGAAAAAGTAAAAGTAAGAGAAAGATATAATCAATATAAAAGTAGCTCATGTGTGACAAAAACGAAGGATACATACCAAAAAAATCAAACTAGTGAATGTTAACAAAATGTTCAATGAACAAATTATAAGTTTCTACAATTATCGATGTATATTTCATGGATTTTTCATATGTAAATAGATTTTTTTAAGTACCCCAGGTGATTCGATCCGACAGTCGGATTCCGACGAAAAAACTATCGGATCTTATCGGATCCGATGGAGAATTCGCCTGAAGTTGTCGGAAGTTGCCGGAATCCTAGCAACAGGATTCCGACAAAAAAGGCATCGAATGTCGGAATAACCAGGATCCTGTCGAAACCTCTGAGAATCTGACACTTTCCGACATCCGGAACCGCATGTCGGAATCCTGTTGCTAGGATTCCGGTAACTTCCGGTGAATTCCCATCGGATCCGATAGGGTGAGTTTGACCTGGGATATGTATATGATAAATAAAATAAAAAAATAAAATTATTGAAAACGAATTTTGTTTTATTTATTTAAACGTAGTAGAAGAAATTCTTATAATAAAAATAAAATAAAATGAAATTTAACTACAGATTTCAATTTTCTCGCAAGTCATCGACAGTAGCAGTATTAACAAGTGATGTTGCATGTTATATTCTTTCATTTG